CCACTATGCTTCCCTCTTGTTTGAAGCGAGTCCTCCCCCCACCCTCTCAAGGTCCTATTTTTATAAATTTAATCACACTTTTCTTCCCGCGCGCTCCGTGTTTCACCACGTAAGCACCATGATGTGGGTTCCGCATCTCTAAAATACCTTTGATCTCTGTGTTTGGATGACTTGACTACTAGATTTTGGAGGTTGCCTAGGCCTTCTCTCTTCGCTGCGAACCGAGAACAACACCGTCCTGATTCTTCCATCGAAGCTCCTTCAAGGATGCGTCCGAGCAACCCGGTCCGTTTATCCAGTGGTTCTCATCTTTGATCCGGACGGATTTTACGAAATGCTTAGGTTTGATTTTGCCGCTGCCAGCTAGTGGTCGTTGCGTGCTATTTTAGAGTGTAGATGTGGGTCTCAGGTGAGAGTTGAGGTAGATAAGGTCTGCAGGGCCTACATCATCGATCGTTATGAGCCGCCGTATTACATCATGGTAGGTGTTCCCGGTCTCGCAGAAGTGTCATACTTACGGTAGCCAGTTGTCATTTGTGGTTATGGACGTTCAGAGGTTAAGAATAAGAAGCCGCTTTATTGTTTGCCAAGTACTAGTAGGCCTCCACAAGTCTGATGATCAGTTTTCGGAACCGTGAACCTTGTTCGGTATCACATCCTGTGGGGGGGAGGGGACGCCTATGCTACCTATAGATGCATCCCGATCTTCCTACCTCCTTAAACTAACTCAATCACCATCTGCCGGACGACCCTTTGTCTGTATGACAGTACCAAATGGTGTTCTCGAACGCTGAAGAGGTGCGTAGACGGTTTGTCGGTCTGACCGATGTACGTGGGCGGGAGTGCAACAGGCTGATTGGCCGAATTAGTCTCAAATCCCGGGGGCTTTAATCAGTCCGAGGCCTTTCTCGCATTCCGTCCGGCTGATTACTTCGGTGGCTGTGGTTCTGTTGCATCAACAGCCGTTTTTCGTGTGTGGCCATCTGAATACTAGCAACAAGCAGACAAGTCGGTCAGTCCACATTCCAGCTGTACGGATTAGCAGTTCATCGCCTTGACCGCTCGGCCGTCGCGTGTGGGAGGCCGCTAAAAGGGTTTGACAGAAGATTTGATTTGTTACCCAGCTTCACCAATCCATGGTGTGCACATATTTAACATAGTTTATGTGGTTTGCAGCCGAAGTCACGGGGCTTGAGTACATTTGATTGTCGGGGTGGATGATTCGGGAAGTCTGTACCTCTAGATGGTATGGTGTAAAAGAAAACCTGCACGCCGAGGCTAAGCGACAGTGGAACAACTGACAGTCGCACTTTAGGAAGGAGTTGTTTTAATTTCCGCTGAGGACGTTATAGGGTGCCAAATTCTGCTACATCTTGTTTGTCGCAACCCGAATGCATGGATGTCTGCACATCCATGACTGGTCTAATTAACTGCCGCGAAGGCGGCGGCGAAGAAAGTTTCCTGACCTGCGGCAAAATGCACTCTGGAATCGTTTTGACCGTAGTCTTTCTTAATGCATTTTTGAATGACTGGTTGTACAATCCATGCAGCAAAGTTGACAAGTTAACTGACAATAAGGCCAAATGAAGCGAAAAGACGCGCCATGTTTAAGTGCGAAGAGCCAGCTCTGACAGAGGTAAGCCCCCAGAAAGCGGGGATCCATCAGGGTTACCCATTTTCAGTCGACCTGTTGGTGATCCGCACCACCTCACGGGGGAGCCTGTCTGAGCCTGCGAGAACCGACACTAAAACCACGGAGATGATTATCTCCCTCATCGGTCGGAATGTTGGTCTACCTCCGGTCAGTTGGGCCCAACGCTAGCAATTATCCGCCATTGCACACTTTCGGCAGGGTGTATAAGGCCGCAAGGTAGCCAGCCAACATCACTCTCATTTCGCTCCGTTTCCGTGATTGAAGACCGTGGCAGGTCGAGGTGCTGACATGTCCTGTGTCCGTGTAACCGGTTTACTTTTGAGAATGACGAGGCCAGTGTTCAGAAGGTAAGAATAATCCAGCTTTTCATCGCCTGCAGAGATCTTCCGGCCCTCAGAACTCAAATCCAGAAGGTGCCTCAATGCCCCTTCTCTCACAGATTTCCCTGATGGAGAAAGTGTCACACCACACTGGTCAGCATGCCTACACAGACGATGTCGGACTTTTCTTGGATATTCTCTATCGCCAGTGCAACGGTCTTCTTCCGTCACGATGGTTTTTTGGCGATATGAGATTTGAAACCTGGATCTCGCGCCCATGTTTTAGACCATTTGGGTACTGATCGCTCTGAAACCTGCGCAATAGATAGGATTTCTGAATTTAAACCCTTATAAGCTTATGCATGCTGTTGGAATCTTTCTCGGGGACTCCAGATCGCAAAAGTGAAACACAGCTGATTATGAGCTTGTGGTCTGTGCTGTACTAGCCAAAAGTCTCATTTCGAAAAGTCCGTTCTTGAAAGCTTTTCTCAAAAGAATATAGCATTGAGTCAAATTGATAACGCACGCCAGAATTACGGAGGGTGCCACCTACCTAAAGCAAATGCGGTGGTTCGGCACAGGAATGTGGGCCATCCCCACCCCCTCCGTGGCCTCGCCCTAAACTACAGTGGCGTACATATTCCCGTAACTCAAATTTAATCTTACCACTCGACAATCGACCGTCGTTTCCGACTATGTCCACCGTGTGCTCCGAAGCAAGGCGTAGCAGGCACGGTGACTTGCGCGTGAGTTAGTTTATAGTGAGTGCAGACTTTCGCAGCATCTATCGCACCCTCTGCTCCCCCACCTGGCTCCGGCGTCAAGACAGAGTCAAGAAGGCCGGAGGCGGGGGGACGCAGGTGACTGGCATGGCCTGACCCGCACCTAAACGTACGTCCACACAACAAACACTTGATCAGGGCTTTAACCAACAGCAACACCACAACGGGTCCGAAGGACGAGGATGACTGGGCAACCATGCACAGGATCTGTATACCCAGCGGGGGCGCAAACGCATCTACCGGCAGCAAGCCAGCTGTCAAGAACTGCTGGCGCACACCAGGCTGCAAGGACCGTAGTTTGCTGAGCGTAGCATAGTAGACGCTTGCGTCCCTTGGGGGCCAAAAGGGTGATACGCAGCCCTGCATTTAGCCTGCGCAATCACCTTTCGGGGCTGAATAACCGGCCAGTCCTAGATTGAGAGGCACTACTCATAAAAGCACACACACACACTCCTCACATGCGTGAGAGTGCCAGAGGTCACGCTAAGGAGCTGCTTCAGTCTGGCTCTCAGCATACCGGTTACACCACTCCACACAAACACACAAAGTTGGCAGACCGCGTGGAACGAGTTGAGGCATCAGTCGGAAACCTTGCAAGCCTCGGCGCACCGTGAGAGTCTCAGACTCGGATCACACATGCATCAGAGGAGCCACATGGAGAAGAGGTCGAGAAGCACGTTTCCACTTGCGTGGGTGGTGTTTGTGACGGGTGGTGGTGTTGTGAGGTTCAGATGCTGGTGGGAGGATGTGTGATGTAGTTTGCGGTTGTCTACCGCAGGTTTTCGTGGATGTACATGTGACCTAGTAGGCTCTTTGTGGTAAGTGAATGTGCGGGGACAGTGTAGACAGTGAAGGCGGATACGGCGACTGTATGTGGGTGCACCAGGCACTGGTCCGCCAGTCTCTGTGGGATGGATTTGCAAGTGATCGACCAGGGCGACGTGTGAGGTGGAGATGCGATCGCAACGAAGACATGTTTGGACCGAGTCCACATTCCTGGTGTTGGCGATGGTGAGGTTGCTGTTCGTCGGTGTGTGAGAATTGTGTGCAGTGGTGGGGGGAGGGGGATATAGGTGACGCCGCAACGGATATTGAGGCGATGGATGATGGCGTTAGGGGTCCAGGAGTGCGGTCAGTGTTGATTGTCGGCGTGGGGGGCGAGACGATGGTGGACGGGGGAACAACAACTGGTGTCGTCCGGGTGCTGCAGTTGGTCCGAAGGTGTCCGAAAAGACCGATGGCTGCCCGGAAGATCAACTGGCATCGTGGGCAAAATGGGGACGGTCGAGCGTTTGCGTTTCGAGGTGAGGACAGTCGACATTTGCGAGGTTCGCGTACGGCTTTGGCAGCGGTGATGCGGTTGGTTTCGTAGATTACTGCGCTTGCCTTCACTGCTCTCTGCCAGCTTGGTCGGTTCCGGATGAGGTCTTCCCAGTTGGCCGAATTTATCTGTAGGCGTCTCAAGGAAGTATTCAGAGTGTCCTTGTAGCGTCGGACTAGGTCTCCTTTTCGGCGGGAGCCCGTGACGACATCTCCACAGAAAAATCGTCTGGGCAACCATTCGTCGTCCAGCCGCACGAGGTAGCTGCGCCAGTGCAGGGCTTTGGTGCTGAGGATTTCCCTCCGTTCCAGTATGCCCGTGTCTAGGATCCGGTCCTGCAATCCCAGCTTTAGTATCCGCCGCAGACAGCTGGGGTGGAATTGGTTGAGCATCCACACCTGCTTCTTGTACTCCGTCTAGGTCTCCGCCCCATACAGCAGCGTCGACAGGATGACTGCTTTGTACATCTTCAGTTTGGTGTTGGTATGGAGACAGTGACGATTCCGGATGCTGTTTTGTAGGCGACCGAAGGCTTGGCTGGCCTCTGGACATCCGGCGGGCTGCCTCATCGTTGGTTTTGGTATTGCGAGAGAGGGTGCTACACAGATAGGTGAAGTTGTTCACGGCTTGCAGTTGGCGCTGTTCACGTTTATTTGGAGGGCGACGTACAGTGAGTGACCTATCTCATGAAATGTTGGCTGAAATTCTGACATGCGTTTTCGATTAAGAAGGATTACTTGGTCGCAGTTGTAATACTGATTATCTTAAGACATACTCTTATAACATTTCGGACTAAGCAGGATGTCGGCTTTTAAATGCATTTCTTTTCAATCTCTTGTAGAATGTGTGCTTGGCAAAAAATGACTACTTAAGTAGCATGTATTTTTTCCATTGATTTTCGGTGGTCTTGGAAATTTAAATATATTATATAGAAACCACAAACAAAAATATGCTTTCCTTTAGTCATTCAATAGACAATCACGTCTTCTTTATAATTTATACCTAAGAAACGAGTATAATTAGGTTTTAAAAAAGTTTCTAATTATGAGACTTTTTAAGACCGCGAAATGTCCATTCACATAGCAATGTACCTGGCCGTTTACCACCGCTCCTCATGAAATGTACAACATGGTCCGCATCCATTGCAAAATTCTATGTACCCTGCATGGTATCTCTTTAATGCCATAGAAAAATATGTGATTTTCTTTACGCGGAACGCATGCACCTTGTAGAGTGAAATCACTGATCGCTAATGCAACGAATGATCAGGCTCCTAATTATTCGGCAATTAAGAAACTTTTTAAAACCTAATTATACTCGTTTCTTAAGTATAAATTATAAAAAATGCGTGATTGTCTATTGATTGAGTAAAAGAAACCATATTTTTGCTTGTGGTTTCTATGAAATATATTTGAATTTCCAAGACCATCGAAAATCAATGGAAAAATGCATGCTACTTAAGTAGTCATTTTTTGCCGACCACACATTCTACAGGAGATTGAAAAGAAGTATATTTAAAAGCCGATATCCTGCCGAGTCCAAAATGTTATAAGAGTATGTCTTAAGATAATCAGTATTACATCTGCGACCAAGTAATCCATCCTAATCGAAAAGGGATTTCAGAATTGCAGCCAACATTTCATGAGATAGGTCACTCACTGTAGGCAACGTTGGGTGGTGGTTGGTGCACAACCACCGTCTTCTCTGTGTTGATGATGAGGCCAGATTTGTCGCAAGCGGCGGCGAAGAGATTCATTCTCTCTTGCATGTCCCCTTCAAAAATTGCTTTGAGGGTACAGTCGTCGGCGAAGAGAAGTTCCTGGACGGTAGTTGTGAATACAGGCGGCAGGAAGTGCATCCGCCGGTGGTTTAGGAGTTGGCCGTCCATCCCGTAGGCGATGCGGATCTCGAGGCGTCCATCACGGCAGGAGTTCATTAGCATGCCGACAAAATAAGAATGAAGAGGGTAGGCGCGAGGACGCAGCCCTGCTTCACTCCGTCGGTCACCGCGAATGCCTTTGAAACGGCTTCTTTGTACGTGACGCGCGCCGTCAAGCCATCGTGGATCTGGCGCTCCATCTGAGTGAATTGCCCGGGACAGCCGAATTTTCGCATTATTTTCCACAGTACTTCGTGATTCAGCGTGTCGAAGGCCTTCGTCAGATCCACAATGGTAGACGAGAGATGGCTCCCCATCCTCTGACACTTCTCCTGTTGTTGGCAGGCGGTGAAGATAAGGTCGATGGTGCTTCAATGACGGCGGAAGCCGCACTGACTTTTCGGCAGAAGTCCCTGTTGCAGATGGCTGTCGAGACGGTTGAGGGGGATGCGAACGAAGGCCTTTCGTGTAATGTTGAGGAGGGAGATGCCTCAGTGGTTGTCGCAGAGTTAGCGGTTCCATTTCCGCTTGTAGAGGTGGACGATCTACGGTTGCGACTACGGTAGGATGCTGTTTTGTTGTCTTCGGTTGCATGGTTGACGTGGACTTTGTGCAGACGGTTCATCTCGGCGAGAAGGTTGCTGATGGCGGCATCATTTTTGCCGAACCAGTCCTGATGTTGGCGACGTGCGCGACCGATGACAGCAAGGGCGGTTGACTGGACCGTGTCCCTCAGTTGGCACTATCGGTTCTCCACGGAGGCGTTCTCGTCGGCAGCCACGGCGGTGACTGGAAGATTGGCTAAACTTTGGGCTAGTTCATTGCTGAAGTGGAGGTAGGGAGCAGGCAAAGGCAACAAGGCAATATTCAACTCACCTGACTGGACCGTGTCCCTCAGTTGGCACCAGTGATTATCCGCGGAGGCGTTCTCGTCGGCGGCGGCGGCGGCGGCGGCGGCGGCGGCGGCGGCGGCGGCGGGGATGGTGACTAGAAGGCTGGCTAGCTATTGAGTTAATTCACTGCTGAAGTGGACACGGTGAGCAGTTGAGCAAGGCAATATTCAGATTACCTTACGGTCTCCGGCATCGCTGTAGACTGATGCTCATCTTAGAGATGAGGCAGTTGCCCGTCCAGCCATCAGCGTCGAGGATCGCCTTAGTCAACATCACGTCCTGCCAATCTCGCCGCTGGACGAAGACATAGTTCAGCACCTGCGAGCATCTCGACCGAGGGTGTATCCGGGTCATCTTCCCTCTTGTCGGAAGTCAGAACAATGCATTGGTCAGGATGAGGCAATGTTCTGCAGAGGTTAGCAAGAGAGGGAAGTCAATATCGTTGGAGCCGGGGATACCGTGAGGACCCAGCACTCCTCCCCATGTAGCATGGCCTGCGACGACGCGGGTATTGAGGTCACGATGGACAATCGACTTATCCGTCTCCGGCATAATCGCCAGGAGGGTACGCAGCTCATCGTATAATTTGTTCCTTGCAGCGTCAGAGTTCGTCATCGGGGAGACGTAGACGCTGATGATGATGTCAAATTTGCCTTGCAGACGGAGGCTCATCAAAATATTCTTGATGCCCTGCGGCAGACAGGACCGTGTTGTTCCGGATGTCAAATTCGACGTCCGCGTCACTTCGCTCTGCCCTGGGGCGACCGCTCCAGATGAAGGTGTAGCCGACACGCAAATCCTCCAGTTCGCCTTGCTCGGAGGAACGGGTCTCGCTGAGTGCAGTGACGTCTACCTTATAGCGCGCCAGTTTCCGAGCGGCTAGCACCATCCTCCATTTCAGCCGGTTGCTCCTGGAGTTATCTAAAGGGGAACGAACATTCCAGGCTGCCAGAGTGATCGGACTCACCCTAGCAGCCTGTCGGATGGGGAAGAGGGGAGGAGAGAGTGTTTCTGTTTTGATGGTTTTGACCGCATGTTTGGCAGTCTGCGAGTCACGCTCTGCGCGCAGATGTCGTAGACCCAGCTTGGTTTAAAACCTCTTTTATAGCCTCCTCCCTCTAGCGGGGAAAAGCAGTGCTCTCCCTTAATAGGGCTGCTTTGTCGCACCAGACGGATGCCGCTCTCCACTCTGGGTCACGGAGGAATTTAGTGAAAGAACGACTAGTGGCCTGGGCTGCCTGCATGATCACATGTCGCCTTCGCCGTAGGACTTCCGACCGTGAGATAAGACAGTAAAATAGAGTAGAGAGTATAGAAAGCGAAGGATGGAAGGGGAGGACGCAGATGGTGCGAAGAACTAGAAGGGGTGGGTGTTCCAGCCACTGGGTCGGTAGCTTTCTGGGTGCTGAAAATGCAAGAGTGAGCAGGCAAAGACAACCAAGCGGTATTCAGTATACCTAGGGAGCAAATTACCCTGTGGCCTCCTGCGGATTGCAGACGAAACCTCATCTGGGAGATGGCGGTACGGAAATCCATCTGTCCAGCGGTGGTGGGAGGGGACAGAATTATCGTGTGTGGAGATACACACCCGGATACCCTCACTTGGTTTTGCCCGCCGATTGAGACGGTTACCACATGTGGCCGCTAGGCAGAGCCTGGATTCTGGGAGCCACATATGAGAGTTTGGTGCCAGGTAATGGACACTAGGTGTAATCAACCCCTGCAAGCAGGTGAGTGACCTACTACGACCGTCACATGGACCCACAACTGGACACCCCTACGCTCCCATCTTAACACTCGGCAGTTCTACCATCGTTGTCGACGATGTCTACCGTGTGCTCCACAGCAAGACAAGAGCAGGCACGATGACTTGCGCGTTATTTAGTTTGAAGTGAATGTAGACTTGCACAGCATCTACTGTACTCTCTTCTCCCCAACCTGAACCCGCTGTCAAGGAATGGTCAAGAAGACCGGAGGCGGGGGAGGGCACAGGTGGATTGCACGGTCGAGCCCGCACCTTGGCGCATCACTCCACGCCCCCTTGGTCCACACATCCAATGACCAGGATTTTGACCAACAACAAAAGAGTCGCTCGCATGGCTGGAGCCGCACCTATGCGTGCCGTCACACCTGGTTCGGATCTCACAGAGTGGGAATGCCATAAAGGTCGCATTAAGAAGGAGCCATTGCAGCCTGACTCCTAGACCACCAATCGGCCTCTGCACACAAACACAGAACAATGGGTCGACTGTGGGGTCCAAGTTATCCCTTCGGTTGGCAACCTTCCAATTTTAGCATTCGCCATAATGATCATAACCCCAACTATCATGACCCTCATAACCGTATCCCTCCTAACCCCAACAGAAACGCTGACTCCCCCTGGAATGTGGCCAAAGCCACCTGTAATACGGCGGATTCCCTATTCCGGTGTCGAACCAATGCTGTTTCAGTAGTTCGTCTTACATCATTACCTGTAAAAATTGATTGCTACAAGTTTTGCTTCCCAAGTTCTTCTACTGAACACATGAATGCGACATATTCTCTTTGTAATAGGTATGTGAACATTAACACAGGAAGCAATCAGACGACTGGCTGGTATTAACACTCCCACATTTGAAAGAATTTGTAATCGGATCAATGAAAGCATAGAGGGGAAGTAATGAGAACTGTCGCAGAATGTGCGACCAACGCGTCGAGATTCCGCGGGCTGTGTTCGGTCGGGAAGGGGGATGTCAGAGGTAGAAGAGGGAATAAACTGACTGAGATAAGATTGCGAACACTAAGCATACTCTGCCTGCGTGCAAACGCTCCGCAACTCGGCTCTGGGTCATGGCACCCGTGAGTTCTGTGCGAAGTTCATCTCCTCACACGAAACGTTTGCGCGCCACCTTCATCGTTCGGAAGTAGAAGCTGTCGCAGTGCTTTCTTCTAGGTCTCCTGTACCCGATATATTACTTGGAAAACTTAGAATGTATTAAAGTTTATACAAAGGGCGAGACAGCATATGCCAGCGCGTCTTGGGAAAGGAATGGGGGAGACATAGAAAGGCCATAAAAGTCTAAGTTTTCGTGCATCTGAAGGGCGCTTCCCACTAGCTGAAGTCGAAGCAGAGACTTCTCGTAGTTTCTCAGGTCTGGACGAAATATCAGAGATCAGTGCAACATTGTAGACTCCAGGGACTAGAAAACAGGTATGCTTGGCATACTTTTGCTAGCTCCCCGTCTAGCTTACCGCTCCAAAGCAGGAAGGGCCTTGATTTTGAGAAACTCCCTTCAACTCCTCACCTCTGCTCGTCCTCAGGAATTTGTTGGACAGCTGAAGGGACATACGGATGAACGCAGAGAAAAGGGCGCGGTTCGCGTCCGGCGCGTAGGCAAATGTTGGTCGAAACAGTGGCATGGACTGCACCGTCCTATCCGAATGCATGACGCGGCGTTTTACAAGCCGAGGCAGGTCCCGTAATCCGCTGTGACAAAAAAACAGTCCTTTTCGCGCAAGGTAACGCCCCTTTGTAGGGAGAGGTCTCCGTTAACAACTACAGCAGGTGGCATGTTTAACAAACTATTGCAAAAGTTGCAAGAAAACCCATGTAAAGCCGTATTCGCCCACACCATGTGCGGTAAAACACTAAAACAATAATTGAACGGTCGTTTCTAAAAACAGACACGAGGTAGTCTGCATGTTCGTATTTGGTGACTAGAGGATTCGAAATCGTTTACCAAAAAACTAAAGATGCACAAAGTGATATGGGTAAAGTGACCGATTCAAGGTCAAGTCCAGCGCGCTTGACTTGCCATACTCACAGTACAGGTACTCCGGGTCCGCGCATTAATTCCCGAGCAAATTAAAAATGGCAGGAGCGAAATAACTAAAATGGAAAAAATGATCAAAAATGACGACAAATACCACATTCGGATGTTTCGTGGATAGCAAGTACTGTTTTGCTCTGTGTAATTATTAACTCCAAAGCCAAGATCTCCGATGATCGAAGGATTTTTCCTCGTCTTGTCCTCGGTTTTTTTAGTAAGCCGAACAGCATGTCTAGGCTGTTCGCAGGAATAAAAGTCGTTCGGGGGCGCGGAAAGAAATATCAAAAATCCCCGTGCCTTCCAGTAATCAAGTGAATTTCGACATTGCGTTTCATGTTTTCGGTCACCAACTGGGAGTGGGCTCCGAGTCCCTTATTAGCCAATGAAAATCAACACTTCCCCGTGCACGTGTGTGCAACTTCGATGACCCGACCGGAGCCAATAGTAACTGGAACTGTTTTACTAAGCGAGGTTTAAGGCATGGAGACCTCCAACAGTTGCAGGACGGCACTGAATCGATAAAACCGGCTGGAAGGTGTGCCTGACTGCCATCATTGTACCGATCACCTTGTTTGCATCGGGCACCAGGCCACTCAAGGTCATCCAAGCTCACGACAGACGCTCCTGTTGGAAAGCCACCTCACCCAGTTCCAGACGTGTTGACCTCGTTGGGCTCGAGAGAGAGCCCGTAAGGCACAGCGAAACGAGTGAGTTCCGTAAGAACGATCGGTGAACGCCCCCTACCATTGTATATTCCCGATCGAAATCGACAGGGCAACGGGCTCGTGGACCTTAGAGGCGTGGACTTCTAACTAACAGGTCGCGAGTTCGAGCCCCAGGTACTCCACACTCGGGGAGTTTGGTATGACTGGCTGACGGCGGCTAATAAGCCAGAAATGGTCATTCCAGTCTCCCTTACCTTTGTCAGTAACGACATACCGTGTTGACCTCGTCCGACTTCAGTTCGGACACCCGTACCTTCAGAACGTCGTGGTCGTCCGTGCCGCACCCGGGCCCCATCAGCCCTCCGCCAGTGCAATACAGACCACATTAACCCCACCGTTCGATCATCGCAAACGACAAAATCCACCACATACCCCACGGGGAGTGAGCGTAACACCGCTGACTTGCGTGTTTATTAGCAAAGTAAACTTTCGTAGCATCCACCACACTATCTTCCCTCGCCCAGCTTACTCCGATTGCAAGACGACGTCAGGACGATCGGAGGCAGGACGCCTGGCAAATCAAAGCAGACCGTCTGCGCGTGCCACACCCGACATGGTTCACAGTTTGATTTTCGGTGGTCTTGCAAATTCAAATATATCTTATGCAAACCATAAATAAAAATATGTTTAATTTCAGTCAGTTAGTAAAGAATCGCGCCTTCTTCATATTTTATACCCGATGAGGGAGTATAATTAGCTTTTAAAAAGTTTTTAATTATGATATTTTTAAGAGAGCGCAATGTCCATTCACATAGCATCGTATCTGGCCTTTTACCACAGCTCCTCATGAAATGTAAAACATTGTCCGCATCCATTGCAAAGGTTTATGAACTCTGTTTGATATCTTATTAATGGCATAGAAAAATATGGGATTTCCTTTACGTGGAATGCATGTGCCTCGTAGACTGAAATCGCTAAGCGCTAATGCAACGAATGATCAGGCTCCAAATTTTTCGGCAATTAGAAAACTTTTTTAAAAGCTAATTATACTCCCTCATCGGGTATAAAATATAAAGAAGACGCGATTCTCTACTAATTGACTGAAATCAAACATATTTTTGTTTATGGTTTGCATAAGATATATTTGAATTTGCAAGACCACCGAAAATCAATGGGAAAATGCATGCTACTTAAGTAGCCATTTTTTACCAAGTACGGTTTCTACAGGAGATTGAAAAGCAATGTATGCAAAAGTTGACATCCTGCCGAGTCCGAAATGTTATAGGATTATGTCACAAGATAATCAATATTATAACCGCGCCTAAGTAATCTTTCTTGATCGAAAACACATTTCAGAATTTCAGCCAACATTTCATGTGATCGGTCACTCACTGTAGTACTCAGAACGACCGAGTTGCCCTGTCGGATGGTAACCTTCTGGGCTACGACTCTTTACGCGTCGTGATAGATTAAAGCGTGCTACATTTAATATATAATGAGGAATTTGCTGATATGCCTCGAAAATGGATTTCCCAGTGTCGGCCTCATCCTTTCTTGTCCCTCTCCCACGCACTGGTCGACTGTCCTAATCTGCCTTAAAACCGGTGACGCGATTGAGAACAGTGTGAGCCTACGTCCACGGTGTGTCACACGCATGTCTGGCAGCACTTACGTGTTCGCGAAGATACGCGTGACCCGCTAAATGCGTGTCATGATCCAGTCCGGTGCTCGTTTTGTTACAGCCCATCCGCAATGTCGTCCAGCTCCGACGTCCACATGAAATATCTGACGCCACTGTCTCACTATCTCTTTCGAACATGACTTAACCTCGCCGGGGACCACTTCTGTCTGAGACAGCAACTCGGAGTTCCTTTCGTCTTTCGTCTTATCCACCTGCTAGGCACGTAATCCTGACTATTGCTGTGGTTAAGGCACGACCAATACCCTAGCCGCCATTGGGCCTTAGCTTGCCGACGGTGCTAACTGTTTGACATTCCCTTCCTCCTGCCTCGCATGACTGGCCAGCTTAATGCCGGCCGACAGATGTTTTGGAACTTCAAAGAAGAATTTCGCCAGTTGTACACACTCTAGGTTGTTGGTGCAGTCCTGTGTGAGTTCCCTGTTGCCCAACAGTCTGCGTCAATAAAGTTTTATCGTCACAAGAAGCTGTGGTGGACCCCAAGTGCCTGACTTGCCACCAACAGGCCGTAATATCTGCTGGAAAAGTGTAGACTTGTCGTTTTCGTCCCACCTCCCTCACGTAGTGTGTCTGTGGGGAAATGTCAACAGCTGACTAGGAAAGACCGCAGTACTAGTCAGTTTCCTCAAACGGTGGCACTTAAGCGTGGTTTTTCATGAGTCGGCAAACGCAGCGCCACACAAGGAGAAAAGTGAGTGGTAGAAATTGCCGGTTGGTTCATAAAAGAAAGCGCGCAGTCGCGTTGTAGTAGCTAGAAACGGCTTCTACATGTGTTGGTTGCTGCTATTTTTGACACCGAAAGAGGAGTAGGGAGGAAATAAAGGCCGAAAGCATCAATATATGCTACTGAGCATTGTTTATATGACAGTAAGTCATTCGTCTGACGCACTGACGACTGCGGCTGCTGTGGTGAGCAGTGTTCACATGCGCCTGGCCATTGGTATAGCTCGGTAGATGCCAATGGCTCCGATCTCACTCTGTCTTCCCAAGGCCATAGAGGGACAAGTATAGAACTAAGATAACGCGACTAAGGTGGGCTAAGGGGGCGAAGATCAGTCTTGCATGAATTCACCGTCCACGACTGTTCGACCGTCGCTGCCGACCATGCGCTCCACAGCCGGGTAAGAGTAGGAACGGTTACTTGTGCGTGAGTTCTTTCATGGTGATAGTGACATGCGCTGCGTCTACTGAACTATACCCTCCACCATCTGGGCCCTGTGTTGAGACAAAATCAAGGCGACCGGAGGCGAAGGAGGGCTCAGGTGGTTGACGCGACAACAACCGGCCCCTAAACGTGCTACCACATCAAATGGCCCAAAAAGTATACTGACCAGGACTTTACACACCCATAAAACAGGAGGGGGATGAGACGAAACAGATCCCCGTTCGTTCGGCGTGAGCTATACCAGGTCGCGCTACAACTCTCTCAATGTTGGTATTTGCTATGGATGCGCACTCCGGATAACGCCTGCTGGACTCTGCTTTATCCCTCGTTTTGGTCCTGCGCATTTACCACGTGGCCTGTTTTAGGGGCGCACACTTGTCCACACTTGACTCGGCATGACTAACGCATCTGACAGATCCAAACCAGGCCTTGCATGCAAATTCACTGAAGTTGGAAAAGTGGACCGGTCACATTAACGCACGTGCGCCCGTCAGCCGAAGTGGTTACTGCGCTGTGCTTGCTGGGCTTTTCGCAGCTGCGTGGGGCACCAGGTACGAAAAGTGTGCTAGGTTGAACCAGAGTGGAATTTATCACTTCTTGCGCTGGGCATATAGTGTGACTGTCAATAAATCGGTCGGATGTGGTTTAGTAGCCCCATCTGAAGTAAACAAACCCCAGCCACATCTAGTACGGGACCGGTGCTAATAGGCGTCTTTACAAGTGGTGCCGGGGAACGCACAGGCGACGAGGTCAAGTAATTGTATGCAAAAGAGAAGCTATTGGGAATGCGCGGTTGTACTTTGAGTGGTTGAGAAATAGTTACCCTAACCCTAAACCCTAATCCTTAGCCATAACCCCGTAACCCCAACCCCAACACTATTGTGTTCATCAGGTGCGTCTTTTTTATGGAAAAGAAAAGCTGCTGAGAATGCGTTGTTGTAATTTGAGTGGTTGAGAAATAGTTGCTCTAGCCCCTAATCCTAAACCCTAACTCCTAACCCTAGCCCCAAACCATAATCCCTAACCCCTAACCATAACCCCTAACTGAAATCCCTTTCCCT